AGGATGGGGGGAGGGGAGAAGAGGTGGGCGGGGGCGCTGCGGGAGGAGGTGGAGGCCAGTGGGACGGGGTGCTGCAGGGAGGAGGCGCTACTGAGGCTTGGGTTTCCTTCCTAGCATCAGAGTTCACCAGCCAGAAGGAAAACTGTTCTTTCAGTGTCCAAAGGGGAAGAAGTGACCTACTGGTGACAGCCTTGCTGTCAACATCCCCTTTGTATGTCCTTAGGCGTTTTTCTTTTATGTTGCCTTTGACCCTTTATGAAATAACATCTATTTTTGAAATATTGGCTCTGGGGGCTTAAGAACTCTACATGTAGACTTTGGTCGTAACGAACAGTGGAACGATTTGCAAGGCCAGATAATCTGTTCATATACTAGATATTTTAGCGTTTTGTAGATTCTGGATAAACAATTGCATCTAAAACTAATAAAATTGGAATGACGTCCGTTTGAACTTGTACTATGGTACAAGTGCTGTTATGTGTAACTTGTAAAGCTGATTTGGGAGCCCCTCACTGACAGCTCTTCATCCTTGCCTCCTTTGCTAAAATAAACAGAAACTGATGGAACTTATTCTTAGCATGTTAATCCTGTATGGGCTGTACCTGTTGTGTGCTCCTTTCCTCCCTAGAAACTTCCTGAATTTCTTCTTTTTGTTTCTGGTTTCCTTTCCTTCTTTCTTGCTGTACTTTTTAACAGAGTACCTGGATAGTTGTGGCTTGGGGAGGGAATTCACATTAATGTTCTAAGGGTGCTCCATATTCCTCTCACATAGACTTTCATCTGCTGGGCCCTTGTGGATGACTGTCTTTGCATTTCAGATGCTTTTGGAATGCAGGTAGACTGTGAGGTATTAGAGTTTGTATCTCTGCAGGTTGGGAGTGATAGAAATCTCTAAAATGTAGTTTTGATTGACTCAGCCCTGGTTGGCACTTTCTACTTTTAACTGATTGGGTAAGGAAATTGCTTTACAAATGAAGAAAACAGACCCATTGTCTGGAGTTAAGATTAAGGGATTTGGAAGCTGCCAACCAACACTGAGTTGCTGGGGAGGTAAGCGTCCTGAGTTAGAGAAAGCCTATTTTCTGGAGATGACATGCCAACTCTGTTATCATAGACTTGACTGAGTGGAGTTGCAGATTGGCTCCATTTTGTACATATATAATATGGCCAATGTACTTTGAATTTCATCAAATATTTTGAGGCAGAGTTGACATACTGGACTGGCTATGGCTCTTAATGTGCTGGAAGGAACACCCTACCTGCCAGAGAATGATTGCCCTCACAATGAAGAAGCACATAACTTCTCAGTGAATTTAGGTTCATTGGGTGGTGCATGTTGAAAGATAATGTATTCTCCATTTATATAAGTTTTTAAAAAAATAGACGTAAGGTAGGATTTCTTTGGATATAATTCCTTTGTATCAAACATCAGGTTCATGATACGATACTGTTTTCTCTTGTAAAGAAGTATTGTGCACAGAAGAATATTTACAAAAATTTGAGAAATGATGTTTAGTATGGTAAAAATGATTATATTGTGATTAAATAACTTTAGTGGGGTTCCATGTGTAGAAAAAGGAATGAAGAAATACCTACTTCTGGATAAAGAAATCAATTCTAATTAATCAGGTATCTTTAAGTGAAATACTTGCAGAAAAGATTGTGGTAGTTACTAGATAGTATTAGGTAGCTTACGAGGCGTCTTGTATTGGGTTAGGGACTGGCAGAATGCAATATAAATACAAGATGGTGATCTGGAAGTTACTGTCTTCAAGGTTACACAGAAAGCTTTTAAGTATGGCCTGGAGTTTCACAGAGAGGCAGATAAAGGGTCTTAGATCTTTACACATGAGGAGACTGATCCAGGTTTTGCTGTTGTTTACACGAAGTATAACATATGAATTACATTAAGAAACGGCATAGCAACATAGATGCAAAGCAGCAGGAGGTAAGCTGGATTTCAGTTTGTATCTTTCTAGTGTGGATCAGGGATTTCTGTCTAGGGAAATTTTTGGATGGGGAAGGGAAAGTGATGGACAGCAGTGAAGTATATAGGCTGAGTGCTGGTTTTTTTCCAGCTTGTTTCCATCTGAGACCTCAACCAGGAACATCCATAATGTCCCTGCTTCCACCCAGTCTCTTTGAGGAATCCAGGCTTTGCTGTTAAGCACTTCAAAACTTTTGTAGCTTCTACCCATTGCTTGCTTCCAAAGTTTCATAGTTTGGGTATGTATTAAAAGGAAACCGGACTGAGGGACCCCAGAATCTGCTTTAGTTTACTAGAGATGCTTCCACAAATAGCATAATGAAGATGGCTGATACAAAAAGCCATTTCCTCAGTTCTAAGGGCTGCTGGGCTGCCAGTCTAAAATATATGTTGAATGTGGCAGGTTTCTGCCCAGGCTTGTCTCCATGGCTTGTAGATGGCACATGTCTCTGTTTTCCTGTGGTCTTCCCTCTGTGTCTGTGTCGACCTAATTCCTTCTTAAGAGGATGCCAGTTGAATTGTAAGGCACCCCCATTCCACCTTTATTATTTCTTCAGAGAAACTGCCTTCAAATACAGTTGTATTGAGAGGTGCTGGGGATTCAGATTTCCCATGAATTTGTGGGCAGGAGCTGAAGCACTTCTTAGCCCTAAGAAAGTTCTTGGAAAAACCTAGCCTGTAAGATTAGAACCAGAAGGATAGACTGGCCCAGGGTGAAGGAGAGAGGCCACAGAGGAGGCTGTTGGGTAGTCTAAGCATTATTGTGGTAATTTGATGCTGGGTAAGAAAGGGAAACTGCTATTTGAGGAAAGGCTATTTTATCTCTGGCCCATGGCCACTTGTTCTCTTCAACTGTTCACTGGGCATTGGCTCTCTGTAGTCCTTCCTGTTTGAAGACAGCATTTTTTTTTAGTGTTTTCTAAAGCTTCATTTTCTTTAAATATTCTTCTAAGTCTCATTGTGTCTCATTAAAACAATTTGTCTGATTAATCACTTTATCATTATTTGTAGTTTTTTCTTTTTGGAGAAGGGTCTAATGTATCCTAAGCTGTCCTCTAACTCACTGTATAGGTGAGACTGGCCTTGAATTCCTGATTCCCCTGCCTCCACCTCCCAGCTGTTGGGATTACATAAGAGCACACCACCATGCTTTGCTCAGTTGCATTTATTTAAAAACTCTATTGTACATAGTGAGTTCCAGGCCAGCTGGGGCTACAGGGAAACCCCATCTCAAAAAACAAGCAAAGAAACAACCCCCCACCTCTTAAAACTTTATGTGTCATGTGTGTTTTGTGGCATAAGTTTTGTTATAATCTGTTCCCCCTTGGACATTCTTCTTTCCTTTTTGGAAAAATAGATTTAAAAAAGGCAGTGTAAGTCCTGTGTAGTCCAATACATTTCAATTGGATGTTGGAATTGTATCTTATACAAGCCATTCTTCCAGTTTGGGCCTTCTGGGTGAAGAAAACCCAACCAAAGAAAAAACATAAAGGGAAACTAACGTTCTTTGTTTTTCCCTACCCTTTTGCTGGTGGTGGTTAAATTTACTTGGTTTAGGGAATCCTTATGTTTGTCTGTTGTTTTCTTATAAACCATTTTGCCTCCAAATCTAAACTGCTGTAAATAAATGCATGAGGGAAAAGTGAGAAAGGAAACACTTGTAAGAAAGGAAAACCAAAACTTCAGCTGTATACGCACGATTGAACACACACATGCACAGGATTTTAAGGAAAAACCTATTTAGGTTGTGCTGAAGATTCACTGTTGGTAGTTTGAATATGTAGGGGATAGATTATCATTTCCTGTATTATTTACCTTTTTTGTTGTTGTTGTTTTGATTTGTTTTGTTTTGTTTTTTTTGAGGCAGGGTCTCCCTGTAGCCTCAGCTGGCCTGGAACTTACTGTGTAGACCAGGCTGACTTTGATCTCAGAAATCCTCCAGCCTCTACCTCCTGAGTGCTGTGATTGGATATGTGCTACTGTACCTGGCTATTGCTTACCTTGTAAGATTATATTGACTATAAATGTTTATTTTAATAACTTCTTTTAAGTTAATAGGAAAACAGAAGGGGAGGTTAGTGGGGACTGAGAGGGTAGGGTGGGGAGCCAGAGGCGCACCAACAAAAACAAAGTAGGTGTAAAAATGCCATAATGAAACACGTACTTTGCCTGTTGAGTTTTAAAAACTAATAAAAGTAAAATAAACTTTTAAATGG